TCAAGGCCAGGTTGGATCAGGCCTTGAACAGCCTGGCCTAGTGGAAGGTGTCCCTGACCGAGGCAGGATGGTTGGAACAAGAAGACCTTTAAGGTCCCTTCCAACCCAAACCATTCTGTGACTCTATTCTATAACCTGTGTGTTTTATCTTTCTCCCTTCAATTAATATTATTTTGCACTTAAATCACAAGGCATGACCTGCGTTTGCCCTGCCAACTCCTCAGTACACTTCTCCAGCTATCACTGCTGCTCCTTAGAGTTGGAATTGAGTTTTGGCTCAACTAAGTGAACTTGGTCAGCAAAGATTGAGGATCTTGGTGCTCATCCCTTTTTCTAGATATATTATGCTTGTGTTGGAGCCTACTTTGCATGAGTGCCAATCCCCTGAAAATAGGCCCATTAAAGAGCAACAGCATTCATTAATCTAGCATATAATGCAGACCACAAGGAACTTTCCAAGGGATTTGGCAAGGGCAGGCAATGCTTTGACTGTGGTTGTGAAGGATCTGTTGTCGGAATGGAGGGACCTCAGATTTCCTGCCCCTAGAGAAAAATCCTCTACACACATACACATGGAAGAGATCATCAGTCTTTACAGAGGCCACAAAGGTTTGGGATTTCTTCAAAAAGCTGGTAACAAGATTGTGTAAGAATCAAATAACCTTGCAAATAGCTGTATCCCATTAGTCATGAGAACAATTGCTGGGCTGAATTAAATGTTGATTGTGGCTTATGAAGTGTCTCTGTACACATGACCTTGGGCAAGACCCAAGAATTCTGGGCTCTGTATTTGAAAGGCAGCTGGCTAAATAGCCATGGCAAAATAATCAAAAAAGCACCGTTTATTTTCTCAATTAACCAAGTGATTAGCTGAGAAATAGGAGACACAGAAGAAAGAAGAAACCTCTCTCTTTTTGTGAAATCTGTTTTTCAGGCTTTCCACCAGTATTACACATTCCTGGAAAACAAAACTGTGCTCAGTATATCTCAGCTCAGCCATGAAATCTTTCGCCAGACTGAATGATCAGTTCAGTGCACTGCTCAGACCTTTGTGCAGCTCTTGTTCCTTCTCTCACAAAATTTGAAAGGCAGCAAGGTAATTATGGATTACTTACAGCCCTTTCTTATGAGAGGCAAACATTAATTCAGGAGTTCCAGAGGACTTCAGGCAACCAAACCTTGGTGCTTTCTTGCTATTTAGTTATTCTTGTATTTCGCTTTTAGCAGCTCAGACTTTCACAGGCGACTGCTTCCGCTACCAGACAATGAGTAAATCTGCTCTACGTGGTGTCATTCCTGATGTAAGCTGGCTCAAATAAAATATTTAATTATGTTTGAGAATTTTTGCTTTGTTCTCTCCTGGTTGTCTAGGCTCCCCACTCAGTCCTTCCTAAGTTACACTAATCATTTGCAAATTCTTTCCACAGGCCTCTTACCTGCTGTGGTTACTGTGTTTTCTTCCTTGTAGTACACAGGAAAAAGTGCTGTTCTTCCTCCTTGAGAAAATTATAAAGAAGATTTCTGCCCCTCTTTTTCTACTAAATCTCTAGCTAACGTTAGCTCACTTTTGGAAGATCAGACACGGATAATCAAAGAATCCCCCACTGCTGTTAATGTGCTGCAGTACAAGTATTTACAGAGTCTGTGAACTGCTAATAAGCAATCCTGCACTTTTCTTCCTAGGCATAGGAGTAATCCTCTACAGGCCATGAATACAGTGAGGGAATGGTTGCCAAAGCACTGGATTTGGGGCCATCTGAGTTGCTGTAGGATGTCCTTGCTGGCCACCAGTTTCTGCCCTCAGTGCCCCATTGGTCCTGTGTCCCATCTGCCGGATCTGTGCAGATCCAAGACTCCCAGCTGTCTAAAATGACATTAAAGTACCTCTGGGCCCCTGTGGTCCCCATGGCCTCAGCTGGGATCAGAGCCAGATTTAGTACTAACTTTGGATGTGCACCTGGACCTTGAGTAGCAAAGTCAGCATGAATATTCTCTCTCGGGACACAGCACAACCTCAGTGCCTGCCTGTGTGTGAGCTCTGGGTGTGCCTGCACAAGCAGGAGCCCAGAACCAGCCCTGCAGGGAAGAGTAACAGGACAGGGGGCTTAGTCCTCTGATTTTGCCTCTGAGCAGGAGATGAATTTGGCTGGCAGCTGCCCCCACCAGTGCAGCGTCCTGGAGAGGGGCCTGTGCACAGCCATGCAGATGTGTGGGGTGAGGTATTGGACCAGGGGATTATTGAATGAATCAGATGTGGGTAAGACTTGATAGACCTGCACTGACCCAGGCCTGTTCTCTGGGTCAAACAGAAGAGCAGGACTTTTGTGGAAGGAAGGTCTAGGCTATCAGGAGCCAGGCAGGAGCATCTCTATAAAAACACAGAAAAAACAACACCCTATCCTTCAAGTACCCTCAGCAATGAAAACAGCACTCATACTGATTAAAGCATAATAAATGTAATGAAAAATGAAAAACACTGTAAGCTATTAGTTATGCTACCTGTTATACATTTGGTTTAAGCCCCTTGAATGCTGACAAACTGTTTTCCCCTGTAGAAAATCTCCCTACATTATTGCTGTTTTCCTTATTCACCACATTTGCAGTCATCACTAGTAAATTCAAGTAATGAATTAATGAGAAGTCTGGGTGGCATCATAATTCTGTCTTGCACACTACCACAGCTACCACACAGCAATCCCAGGATGCTTAACCTGCCCAAGTGGATTAATCCTTGCAGTGCTTTTCTGCTGTATGTCAAGGCAGTGAAAGTCCCTACAGGCATAACAGAAACCCTTCAGGGCACCACATTTCAGGGTCCATGGGGCAGAAAGTCTACTTGGTATCATTCCAATGCCTCTAGGAATGTCAGATCTGCTCTGAGAGCACTGTGCAGACAGTCTGCACATGTTCCATAAATCTGTCAGCTGGGATGTTTTTGGCTCCCAGCACACAGGCTGGGTATTGCCCATGCAGGAGGGTGCAGGAGGTTCAGTGATTACACAGAGTGGAACCCAGTGCTTGGGATATGTAAAGTCCACCCAGTATTTCTATAAAGCACCAGAACAGCTCATGGTGTGAGCAGTTTGTGCAAGACAGGGCAGGGACTGCCATCCTTTGCTCCATGTGTTCACAGAAGAATAGAATGAGTGAAATTACTCTCCTGGAAATGCTGGACCCTCTTACTCACACGCTATGCCAGCAGCTCTATGAATGTCTTATAAAAATGTCAAGGGGATTCAGCAGCCTGGCATCCTGCTCAGATTCCTGAGTAAAAAAAGAGCCAGCAATAACCAAGATGCACGTTAGCTCTAATCAGAGCACTGAGAATCCAAAGAGGAGCAGGACTGTTAAACTGTTCACCATGGAACATTTAACTATGCAGCTTTGGTATTATAAATGTGTGCGACTTCACTGACAGTACATTGAGCAACACCATAAAACTGATATTAATGTGGCTTTTATGGAAGGACTAGCAAAGTGAGCTGTCTTACTCTCAGACAGCACTAAAATCAGGTCAATAAGGACATCTTCAAATTTAAGCACATGAACAGCTCTCCAGATCCAAGAGGGCCAATCATACTTTTACATATCTTGCTGAACTGGAGCCTAATTCAAAAAAACAGGACTTACTGCAACCAGAAATACACTGTATTCCATGCATTTTCCTCCACATGCTGAACTGGGAAGTAAAACATTGATTTCTAGCACATACCCTATTCCTACATCATTGATGCAGCTCTATCTCTGCTGAAGTGTAAATGTTCATTGAATTATTGAAACCCTTGTAATGTTGTAAAAGAAAATGTTAATCTTAATTAGACACACGAATGTCTGCAAAACCAAGAAATCAATTGTATATAGCAAAAGAACTATCTTTATTTTAATTTCATTTCATTCATTTCAGTGATGTGTGGCCCTGCAGTGAACTCCAATTTAGAAAGGAACTGAATAATGTTTTGCAGCTGGTCAGAAAATGCAAACCCATTTGCAGAATTTTTTTAAATATCACAGATATTGTCCCAGTATCACAGTGAGGGGGAAAAAAAAGTGAAACTATTTAGAAACAACAAAGAAGTTGTTTGTCAACAGTTAAGTCAAAGATTTACCCAAAATATTACATGCACCTACCCAGATATCACAAAAACTACAATGCCATGAATTTGTTTACTACTGAGAAGGAGTAGCTGAAATGTACTCTGTGTTACAGTGCAAGGCAAAATACAGCAATTTCTGCAAAAAAGCTGTCCAAGTTTCATCATCTGGTGCCCCTTGTATTTGCTTAGGGGAAAAAAAAAGGAATATTCACTTTAGCTGAAATTTTGTTTGAGGCATGAAGGTCTAGGGGAGATAGGCACAGAATGAACCAGTTCCTTCTGGCTGTATCTCTTTGCTGCATCCAGCTCAGTGGAAACAGCCCTATTCCACCTCCACAGCAATGTCCCCCTGCACCAACCCACAGGAATGTCATGGAGGAGGAGAATGCTCACAAGTTCTCTATATTTTTGGTGTCACTCAGGAGTGGGATTTGGAGGTTGGCTGGAGAACAGAAACAGGAGCTGGAGTGCCCAGGAAATGCAGCCAGCCAAGGCAAACTGCAGCACTGCTGCTCCACACACACCTCCCGAGATCAGCAATTTAATGGACAGATTTATGTTTATCATATTGCTGCCTGGAATCAAAAGACCAAACTTTCCAAGTATTAAGAGTAGTAAGATAAAAAGCAATTCTTTAATGAAAGCTTTCAGGTGCAAAAAAATGGCTCTGAGCATGCGTGATACAGGATTTCTACAATTTTTATAAAGTTAATTTATTAGTATATCTAATACTAATACGTCCAATCAGAGATCAGTTTCCCCAATAATCCACTCTGGAAGCTGCAGAGCTGGTCCAGGGGGTTGTTTGTCCTATATGTTGTTATGTCTCTCAAATTCTGGTGAAAAACAAGGTGTCCTCGTTAGAAATTCCCTTCTTGAGAATAAGACTAAACAGAATTTCAAGAATGTGTTAGAAAGGATTAGTTTATTGCTCTAAAATGTGAGAGAGGGCAGGAAAAGCACTAGAAACTAAAACTATATATTTAAAAATCTACAAAGCTACAAATATATGAAAAAGCTGAAAATCTTTAGGCATCAATATCCCACAGTACAAGGCCCACCACACCTACATGTAGATTATACCATGCCTATGCTGCTGGTAGGTCCAGCCATTAAGGTACAACCCTGGAACGTTTTCCATGATGCTGATCCCCAGAAAGAAGGGCCAGCTTGGAGTATCCAGATGAAAAGCAGCTTCTGCAATGGTGTTTATTGTCTTGAACATTTTCAGAAGTGTAATGCAATATTATACAGCTAACTATATGGTTTTATTTAAAAAATCACTCATTGCCTTGGTCCTTTCTAAAGAAGATCTATGTGTTTACAGACCAGAATATTCTGCTGATGAGGAATATTTTTCTCCTGGCAGGAATCCAAGCGTCAAAATGTGGGTTTTTGTAGCTGTGGTGAGTAATCTGTCAGCAGGGAAACCATGACAGCCTAGAGGAGGAAGAGAAGAAAAAAATCCAATCACATTGGAAACAGATACTCCATAAAAATAAATAAGGGGGAAATATTTTCCAGCTCTGAAGCCTTGTGTTGAAACTTATTATCCTGACAAAAATGGCACATTTGGATTTATTTGCTATAATTTCTGATGATGAATCGGACAAGAGCTGAAAATCAGTTAGGATGTTCTGTATCTGATAGATTTTCTCAGTGTGGACAAAATATATTAATGGACAGCTTAGGAGCAATTCACACAAGCATTTAGATCAAATGCTGAGGCCTTTTTGGCATGTTGTGATGTATTCTCAGCTAGTTCTAGGAGATGCTGTAGGTACCCAGACATCACATGGGCTGCCTTGTGCCATTAGCATCAGCGAGAACCATGCTGGAATATGGACTCTGAAATTTATCCCAGTTTAGCTATACTTTCTGTAGTGAAACATGGAAAATCCCCACTGAGGTAAAGAGTGTGCCATCCACCCCTCCTGCCTTGCCTGCACAGCTGTGAAATAGGAGTGATTTCATCAGCTAAATGAAATGTGGCATTGCAGGAGCTCTGCTGTCCCTCCCACGCCTGTGCTCACAACAAACCCCACATTGCCTGGCCTTGGCAAGGCTTTACCTGTTTTTTACCTGGTGCTGTGATTTCACAGCAAGGTCTGACTGCGCAGTTTTGGCCCAGCACTGGATTTGTGAGGGCTCCCCAGGGGCTTTGCTGCCTGTCCTTCCTTTCCCCTCATCACTGCCAGGCTCAGCCCAGGCACACAGAGGTGCCTGAATTACAGCTGTGCATCCCCTCAGTGCTGCCAGCCCTGGCTGCACTCAGCCCTGCTTGCATCTACAGCTGAGCAAATAATCTATTCTGCAGTTTGCTCTCTGTCTTACAAGTGGTAGAAAATACTATATAAACAAGACCCATCAATTCATCATTTTTATAGGTTGATAAAATACAAAAAATGACATTTTCCTTTCACCTCCCCCAGCCCCTCCAAAAATGTGCATCTGGAACCCAAAGTAAAGGCTTTCTTTTCTTTTTTTTTTTTTTAATAATATTTAGGGCAATTAGAAACATTGCAAATTTAAACTAAAATATACGAGCATTTTGTTAAATTTTAAGGACAAAACTATAATTTAACACACATTTGTTAGTAATTTTGACTGATCCAATGTCTGAGGTTTTAGCAAACACAACACTCAACCCTCATTTATTCATTTGGAGCACATCTAGACTTCATCTCAGAACTCTGACAATGCCATCTCTGTTTTTCTTTTCACCTCTGAAAGTTTTCACTAGCTTTTGTCAGCTTGGTGGATCTAAAGCCAAAAATAAATAATAGACAACTATGATCTGGCAGTAATTTTCTGAAATTCCAGGAATGCTGAGAGGGGAGTTATGGTTTGTGTTAAATGCTAAGTGTCCCCTCATGGTTCCCATGATCACACAGCATCACCCACACCATAACTTTGCAGGATATTTCAAATCTTTGCTCTTCCAGCATTTTCTAAGGGAAAGTTCCCATTGGTGTCAGCAGCAGCTTTTCCTGAGAGAAAATAACTGGTTTTAAGTGTTTGGGAAACTGCAGTTTTTAAGACCAGACCCTGGGATCTCAGCATGTAACATGTTTTAATTGTGAAGTTGAGTTAATCATTAGAGTAAATCCAGTGATTTCATTGCCAAAGAAAGTGACAGTTTATACTGTATATTTCACTTAGTGATAAAACCTGGGTCAAGCAACAGCAGAATATCACCAAAATAGATCACATTTGTGCTACTAATGTTGTCTATAGTCAACATTGTGATGTGCTCTGGGGTAAATTTGAAACATATGTTTTAACATTCACTATTTATTGTGAAACCAGGTTGAATTCAAACCTGAACAGAATTGACCCCAACCTCCAAATACTGTTATCTTATTTTCTTTTTTTTTTTTTTTCTTACCATAATTGTCCATTTTCTGTTTTCAGCCTCCTGGAAAACCAATGACTGCGGAGAATAAAATACTTCATCATCAACTTCTTCAGGTTTTCTGGGTAAACAGTGTAAAAAAGTCCAATTGGAAGCAGCAGATTTTGCAGTCTGTAGATTAAAAAGCATATAAAATAAAGACATATGTGAGAATATTAGTAAAATCCTTAACGAGTAAAAAGGTTAACAAATTTTATATTAACTCCCACTCTGGTTACTTGGATGATGAACTCAGAGTTCCACAGACTTCAAAAGAATTCCTCATCTGTGAATAAGATGGGAATATCTCCATGCAAGTCTGTAAGAGTTCAATGCTGACTTCACAAAAGTCAAAAAGTCACTCCAATTTCTCTGACTTTAGAAGAGGAGTGAAAACCCCTCTGCTGCACATGTTCTGGAGCTGGATCTCATTGGGAAGCTCTGAAAGAGGCCAAGCCATGGGGAGTGTATGACATAATTCGAACTTCGTTATCTCTTTGAGTTTTCTAAGCTGGAGGGAGGTTTGCATGTGGCTTTTCCATGACCCCACTCAAAAACCCCCCAAACTCATGCTTGGTTGATGTTGATTCTTATAAATTCAAAGTGTAAAAATGTAAATAAAACCCAAATGCTCAGTTTTTACCTGCATTGTAATCTGATAACCTTGAAAGGCCTTTAGTCTTTCTTTCTTCTCCTCTTCTTGTCCCATGCTTACCCATGTGTCTGTGACTAAGACATTGGCACTGTCTGCAGCTTCCAAAGGGTCTGTTGTGAGAAGCAACTTGGTACCATACTAATGTGAATAAAATAAGGAAGATCACTAAGACAAGGAACTTCATTTACAATGAAAATAATCTCTATTCAAATTATTCTACTAGGCTGTTTCTTAGGCTCCTACCTCTTTGGAGTTCTGTTCACTTATTTTAGTTATCCTGAGGTCTGGTTCAAAGCCCTGGCAAAGAAGATGATGGGTAAGACATCATGGAACATGTATAAGATCTTCACTAATTAATAAGAATGGCTAGAAAAATACTTATTGAACCATTGGCCATGGAAGAAGAACCTTTCAGAACTGTAAAACTTGAGGAAACAACATTTTATTGAAAGTTTATTTTGGAGGTAAAGTGGTGAAAATTGTTCTAAAAACATAAGAAAAATGTATTTTGTCAGTTACAGAATTAAATGCATATTCAACATTTAATTTTTTTTTTGTTCTAAACTGATTTTTAAAAATACTTTATATTGCATTACAATGAACATTCTAAAATGCTGCACCACCAGTTTACATGAAATGAGATGTAACACTTCCACCTATCTGAAACAGGATTTATTTTTTTTTTATGAGGAGAGTGCATTGGATGTCTTTGTAAGGCTTTATCAAATGGAACTGTGATCCTCCATTATTTAGATTTATACTCCTGTCAGATATTCCCATTTCTGATGTTGGACTCAGTAGAATCACTCCTGCTTTGCATCCAAATAACTGGATTGGTACTTGGTACCTTTGTTCTGAAAACAGACACTCAAGATAGATGCAGGCACCCCCAGCTGGGGCCCTTGAGCAATGCCTGAGTGTTTGAGACAAGCCTGGCTGCAGTTTGCCTTCCTTTCCCCGTGGGTTTGGTTTTCCTTACCCTGGGAGTGGCAATCCTCAGGTGCATCCCCAGCTGCGCAGCGCTCGTCATGAAGGACTGCAGGACGTTGTTGCCGTCCCCGACCCAGGCGATGGTGAGCCCCTTCAGGCCCCCATAGTGCTCCTGCCAAAGCAATCACAAGCTCTGGGGTTACCTCCCAGAGCAGCTGGGCAGGCTGATGGACAAGAGGGAATGATCAGAAGGGTCTGTGCAAAGGCAGCTGGCTGCCTTCAAGTGCTGCCTGCACGGACCACACCTGGAATTGCTGCTCCTGCAGGATGCTCACGGAAGGAAAGCCCCCCATGTCCTACAAGAAGACCCAAGAGCTGCTGCTTCCCCTGCAGAAGGACACGTTGGTACATGTGCCACATGGTGAGGCTCAAGCTGAGAAATTCAGCCCCAGACATGAAGTGATTTTAGCATCACTGATGTACAGCTGATCTTTGGGCCTCATAAACATCAGTGAATGCTGGAAATTCTTAATGTAGAGACAGTCCTAATGCCTGGAATAGAACTCCTCCTAGCTTTTCCCCAAATTGTGAAAACGTCCCTGTTGAGGTTTGTTACGGCTTAGCTGCCTCTGCACGCTGTTCCCTGTGGCCATGGCAGTGGCCAGCTCCTGGGAATGCATCCTCTCCCCTCAGCTGCACAGGACAGCAAAGAACAGCACTCTGACAGCAGCTGTGCCACTCATGGCCTGCAGCATTTGTTCTCCATTGTTCAACCAAAGATTGCAGGGATTTTTAAATAATGTGGATTATCCAAACTTGAAACAGCATTACAGAGTTAACTGTGGCTGTACCTGATGGCACTTACAGCCAGCCCCTGTGCAGTTACTCTGTTCCTCCACCCCAAGCAGGTAAGGCCTAAGGAGGAACAAGAATAACAGGGGTTACATATTTCCAGACTCCTTAATGAGCCCTGTTTTAGATATGCATGTTTATAGGCATTTAAGCTGATACCAAAATTTTTACAAAGACATGACCAAATTCTCCTATAAGCCTGCTCTGTAAAATTCTATCTCATGACTTTAAACAATTTCTGGAGAGTCATTTATTCTTAGTTCAAATCTGGGCCATGCTACAATAGCATTGTAGTAGCTGGAAGCCAGGCAGTGTTTCAACACTTTGTGTGACATGATTCAGTGCTTGTCAGAGAGGATAAGCATCCACACTGTACTAAGTGGCAACCTTGCAGGCAGTTGCAGAAAAGATGCCAAAAGACTGAACAGGAAAAGGGCTGGGACCACCCCCGCCTCTCCTGGCAGCAGCTTCTCCTAAACAAATAGTTTGTGAAGTTGTTCCGGAACAAAGTTATTGGCATTTCTTTCAGTGACCACAATTTTGAGTCAAAAATAGCAGTACTTGAAAATTGAATGACATTAAAGTGCTGTAAATACCTAAACTGGATAGAGTCCTAGACTGCTCAGGTTTAAGGGCTAAAACTATGGTATTGCAAAAATATTGCTTTTTCAGCCAAAGTTTGTTAACAACAGGCTCATTGGCAGAGATTGGATGCAAGGGCATTTACAGGAGAACAAATAAGGACTGTGTGGACATGGAAGTTATTTCAGTATAACCATTCTGCAGGTCTCCAAGGATCTTTCAAAGTCCCTCCACATCTCCTAGCAATGGTGCTCCTAGGAGAAGGCCAAACTGAAGCATTTATTTAAGGTGTTGTTTCCATTTAGGGCGTAGTGATAGCTGAGACCAGAACCCACAGCCAGAAGTAAGCGAGACAGTCCTGAGTTCTTTTCATCTCACTGTTTAAAAATAGACATCTCAGCCTTAATACTCAAAGCATTGACTAGAGTCACAAATACACTGCTATGTTAAACAACTTCACCTTATTGCCAGCTGCTACTCTGCATTAAAAGAAACACAGTGCATACTAAGTGTTTTCCTCTGTTTTCCCAAGCTCCTAGCTGTTACAGATAAAATATGGAGTACTGGATGTGTCTGTATAATGATCCCTGATACACACTGCAAATTGCAATCCACGTCCACAGTGACTACTGTGTAGAGTGGACATAGCTGAACTGATTTTAATGAAGATGTTTTGCTAATGGAAGGAGTCATAGCAAGGCAGAATCAAGCTGTGTGTGTGCTAGTGAAGCCTGGTTTGTATCCTGTGCTAGGCTTTATGCTGCCACTGGTGCACTGCTGCTGTAATTCAAACCTCTTCATCTAAAGCCAGATCACTGTGACTGTGACTGTACTGCTTATAAGCAAACACACACCCTCAGCTTCCAGCAAAGATGAGGTGACTCTGTTGGTCAGAACCAGAATACAAAAGCTGCAGTAACGAAACACACTTCCCCTCTTGCCCACTCCCTATTTAATTGCTTACACAATCACAGGTGAAATCCTGCTAAAAGTGTTTTGCCGTGATAGTAACACCCTAAATTAAATGAGAGCCTTTACAACACCTGATCACCAGAACCCCTGAAGATATTTTCCCTTTGTATCCTTCCCCAGTTTTTACAAATTATGTTATATTGATATAGGCTTACTCCTGCATGGGTGTTCTGCAGTTTCACTCTACATTTGGAACGTGACTCCTAGTAAAGCCACATAAAAAAATAACATATTTAGAAAGTCTAGAGCCCTTCTCCCCTATGAAGCCTCTTCAGCAAAGTAGCTCATTGCTGCTGTAGTGCCATAAAACTTGCCTGTGTTATTCTCATGAAAAATCCCAGCTAAATAAGTAATACAAATTTTACATTCAATTTTCTCACCCTCTTATTGCTTTTACAATGTTTCATTCTGTTCTTAGCCATGGCTGCAGTGTATTAGTGTAGGCAACTCTGGGAAAAAATAAGTGTGCTCAGTGATTTGACCCTGTATGTGTAGAGAAGGCTGGGTTAACTAATTAAGGACATTTGTGTCTGCCTCTGCCTGGACGTACTTCCAGCGAGACTGAAACTCTGACACCATTATAGATTAATTCTGAAATGTTTGACCACAACTGTCATAACAGCCTTCAATTAAAACAAGCTTTTGAATAATGAATCAATAATCTGTCAAATTTTAAAATGTGATGCCAGGGACTAATCAAAGCTTTAGCCCTTCGGGAGACAGTGCAATCCAGTAAATGAGAAACTGGGCAAACCTGGATCTTCTGGTTCCCAAACTGGGCTTAAGGCAGATGCTGGGTCAGTTATCTTTCCTACTCCCACACTGGTTTTTGTCATGGTTATTGACACAGTATATTTTAGAGGATCAGGACAGATCTTAGTTGGGATGGCTAATTGTTAGAATAACAAGGATGATCATAGTGAGGAATTTGAAATTTGTAATAATTTGAGGTCTTGGGCTCACACAGCAAGGAGAATTTGAGAATATATTGAAGCCCTTTTCAAGCTGGGCAACATTATTTGTTATGCTGTTTAAAAAGAAACCACCGATGTATTTCTTATGCCAACCGTTGCTTCCTGGAAAAGAAAATTCCCCCCAGACCAGTGACATAAAAAGCTAGTGGCATATGGATCCACTCTAATTACCAGTCTGGCCATCCTGCAGTCAGCTACAAGTGAGCTGATTGGCCAGTGACATTAATATCAATTGAATCAATGTCAATACCCGGGCTGTCTCTGGAATACAAATTGTGTGATGCTGCCCTCCAGCCACGCTGAGCAGAGCACAAGATGAGCCACAGCTCCTGCCCAGGACACCGAGGGACACTGGATGGACTCAGCTCGTGGCTCTGATAGAACAAGTAGAGGAGTTAAGAGGCTCAGTGTGTGCTCACAAACTCACAGTCTTTAAAGGCCAAATCCCCAAATCCTCAAAAACAGGTTTTTACGTGTTTGCAGCCATTTCAAGTGGGTTATAGCTCAAACACACTCAATTCAACACAACCTTTAAGAAGAAAGGTAGTGTATATATAGGCTAAGAAAAATGTTTTTCTTGGCTTAATAGAGGGCATTAACCCTGAGCACAATATTAAAGGACAGAGCCAGCTTAGATTTCAAACATGTGAGGGGATCCAGGTTGCTCAGGAAGAAGGCACAGGGCAAGAGGATACTGAACCTGGGGAATCTCACCCAAGTATCCATAACAGGAACACACTGCATGATCTGAAAAGAACATTTCCAGGATAAGAATTTGCCCTGAATACAGAATGAGAATTGGAGGCCCTGAAAAGAAAACCACTGCATTGTTTGGGGGATGCAATGGACTATACTAAAATAACGATACTAAAATGAACTTGTGAAAAGGGAATAGAAGCTATAAGCAAGAAAAATTTTTTTCAAACAAACTGTGCAATTATGTAGTTTCAGACCAAAGAGAAAGTTCTTGAAGAGGGTTCAAGAAGGCACACACACGACAAACTTAATAGTATATAGAAAAATGTGCTAAGCATGAAGAGGGCCAGGATGCATATAGAGCTCCACTGGAAAACAGAGAAGAACAAAAAAAAGAAAATAAAAATCTACATTTTGGGTATGTACTGACAGCAGGGAGGAACAGACCCAGGCAGGAAAATATTTATGGGAATAGGGAAGAGAAATTTTTTAAAGAGAAATAAGTGGCTCAAAATCTGTAGGTACATTTAAATATTAGGCTAGCAGTCCTTGCCACTGCTGTAGTTTGCATATATGTATAAATGAAATAAATTGTCTTTGCATTGCACAGAAACAGTCTAAATATTATATATGGTCTTTCAACTCATTTAAAGAACCAGTGGTACCATTCCACATCCCTGTATTAATCTTCTTGCAGGCAATACTTGGATGACATCATGCTGAAAATCCCACGAGAAGCTTGACTGGGGTAAGTAGCAACTAGACCTTGTGGCTCACACCTCTTCAAAAGTTAATCTCACTTCTGTGGCCTGGCAAAGTTCATTATATGATTAAAACCTTGTTTCATTACATGCCACTCCAGTCTTCTCCAACTCTCCGTACAGTGCAAAGAGGAAAAAAAGGGAGCAGAGGACAGAAAGGGAGAGTTCAGGCAGTGCCATCACCCACAGGGAGCTGCTGAGAGCTCTCCCCTGCCTGCCCCTCTCTCCTGGATAAGAAGGCAGGAATGGAAAGCGAGTCAGCCACCAGCAGTGCAACATGCCCTTGGCACAGCGGGGTGGCCACCCAGCTGCCCCAAAAAGATCTCCTGACAAATTTTGGGCTAAGGAACATGCTGGAAAGAGTCAGGGAGAGATGGGCAGATGGAGGAAATGGTGCTCTGCTTGTTGGGCTGAGTGTGAAAGCGAAGCAAATTTAAAAAAAACCTTCAATGTCTGTATAAAAGCTGAGCCATTCCTTGTGATCTCTGTAAGTGCTCACTCTGTGATGACACCTCTCCACATCAAAAATGTCCTTTTTTTGAGCACCAACTGCTGTGGAGCCATTTCTTCATCACCAAAGGCATCCTCCCTGGTGTTTGGTGCAGCAAGGACACCCTCAGCACCCAGCTGTTGGTGCTGCCCTTGGAATTCAAGCCAGGGAAGAGTGCAGCCTGTGGGCTCATATTCACCCAGAGCTTCTGCCGTGCCTGTCCTGTATGAGGATGCAAAGGAGGAGGAGCAGAGGGTGATCAGCAGAGCACGTTCTCATCCTGTTGCTTTCCACAGGCTTCCCCCTAAGATCAGTGCAGAAAGAGATGCATCTCCAGCAGGTGACTGGGATGCTCATTGGACTCTCCTCATTAACTGGAGGGGGAGTAGAGGGCAGCAGCACGGTGAGCCTGGGTGCTCACAGGCAGATCAAACCTAGATCAAACCATGTTTAGGGGCAGAGATACCCATGGCTGTGTGGGCGGCGAGTCACAGATTGTTCTGAAGAGTGTTACTCACAAGTGATAAAATGCTAATTAATAAGGTGTCTCCAAGACAGAATGCCCCACAAAACACAACCAGAAGATTCTCCTGACTTATAGTTTTCATACAGTGCTTACAACAAAATGATGATGTTCTCACTACAGCTTACTATCTTTTATGCTATTTGAACATTGAGGCTGGCTCAATGTGATCTCACAAATCTCCCTTATCCTGAGGTCTGTAAGCATTTTAGTCTCAACTTCACAAATTTTTTTCTGGTCTTTCCACTGTGAATATAAAAAAATTACAAAAAAATACTTAAAATAAAAAAAGTGATTTTCACCAAACAAATGAATCTTTCCATATTTAAAGCATGAATAATTAATTATTACTCTCACTAGATCTTTTCTACACACTCAATGTCCCATAGCAAAGTCCCCAATAGCTAAGAAACATAGCTGAATTAATCAGGAAATTATTCTGCCCTACCATTTTCAAGCAGTGTGTTTTTTACTTGTTTAGAAAGTAAACAAGGTCAGAGGAAATCATCACAATTGTCAACCAGTCCTGCAGTATAATAATCTTTTTTGTAAACCAGATCCTCAACCGATTGTAAAACCACATAGTCCTTCTGTTCACAGATAAACATCTGGTATTCTGTGTGTAAAATATTATCCTATTGTCAGATCCACTGTTACATTAGATAAAAATAAAAAATATTATAATTTTAATTGTTCTTTGATGTGAGCAAAGTTTAAACTGGTTATCACTTTGCATTAAGTGTTTGTACTAACATTAACAGGCTTTTCAAAACAAATTTGTTCAACCAATTTCCTAATACATAAATAGTAATTCCTTTTAAGCTGTCCATAGATTAGGGAGGAATCAAGAGCAAACCACTGAGTGTTTTTAAGACAATGGAAAAACTTTTGCTGGCTTTGCCTGAGCCAGATTATCATGTTTGTCTTTATATGTACAGCCCTCTGTACATTCTTTGAATTGCAGACTAATTCCAATGAAATACTTAATTTTATGCTTAACTTCAGTCCCACTACAGCTGATAGGACTATGTAATTGTTTTAAATTAAACAGGTTCTTAATTGTATTGCTGGATGAAGATCTCTTTAAACAACAAGTGCCATGTAATTACTACTTTGAAATACCAAGGGAAAAATGGTTTTGAAGATGCCTTCCCCAAACACTTACTAAGAATTGCAAAAAAAAAAAAAAAATTGTTTATATTTTTACCTGAAGAGTTAGGTAATCAGCTAAAATCTGAAGAGGATGGTATAAATCGGACAATCCATTGATTATTGGGATTGTGGCTTCTTTTGCCATTAGGTGCAGATCATTGTGGTTATAAACTCGAGCCAAGATTGCATTTGTCATGCTGGACAGCACCCTAGAGATGGCAGAAAATACTCAAGTCAAACATAATAAATATACCCCTATTGCACTCTTCACCATGCAACACATAAATATTAATGAGAAATGGTAATGAATCAATATTGTTCAGCTATCTGAATAATTTATCATGCCTGCAGAACGGGCTCGAATGTAGTCATTTAACAAGCTGCTAATAAGTAAGAAATTTCACTTCCTAACGCTACTATAGTAAGTAAATGAAAACTGCTGCTCTATTTTATATTCTTTTCTCTTTAGCACTTCATTGTAGATGGAACATTGATACATGTTAAGCTCTCTGAACTAAGATAAGAGATTGTGCAATACTGTAAGAGTTGAAGAATTTGATAACCTCAGAAGAGATAAGGTATATTATTTTTTTCAGTCTTTTAGCAAAGAACAAATGCAGCATTGACTGAATATTATAGGTTCTGTATGGTAGCCTGACTCTGTGAGGGTCAGCAATACAGATCTTAGATTACCACAATTGTTTACAGAAACACAACAGGCTGCTTTCTCCTACCTGCACACCTGTGTATTGACTCATGGTATCAGCATTCAAAGAATGCCCAAATTTCAAACTCAGAAGGGAAGGGTCTGCAGAGGCCCCTGTACCACTCTGGCATTAACTTCATTTGCTGAAGTGTGAAAGACAGAGATTAGCATAGTATATTCTGAATTTTTTAGATAAATTAAATATGGATTGGAGCTCTTAATTTCTCTGCATTTCTGTGTTTTAATCAGGCCCTGAAGCCTGACTTTGAAGTAGTACTTTGTGTGTTTTCATGTTATCTGAAATAGGACCTTAAAACAAAACAAGGGAGGACTGAATTAGAAATATATGGAAAAAATCCTTGCAGTATCTGCCTTCCTGATTAACCATAACAAATTCTTGCACTTCCTCTTGTGGAAATAAGGCTGTTAGTACCATCATCAGCAAGGCCTCCTGATGAAGTCAGTAATAAGTATTTTCTACTGACACCAGACATTCCTCACACAAGCAAAGCTCTTATAAAATCTTACAAGATTGCCTGTAGAGCTCTCTCTGAAGAAAAGATCATCTATAGAAGCTACAAATGAAAAGGAGGAACTGAACAAGGAAGGTATTTACTGATTACAAAGTACTGGAACACTTGCTGTTGGTACCATTATTTCTTCTTAGCGCACCAGTTCCTTTCTCTGGGGGAAGCCTGTTTTGTTTGAACTGGCCATCAGGGATGTGATGTTCCTTTTGTTGGCCCTCTCACTGGTGGGGACCCTAAACCAGGCACAGCCAGTCCCCATCAGTCAAGGGAAAGGGGCAATCACACTGGGGAATTCCTCACTTTCCTTATAGCTTTATTTCCTTTAAGATGTCAGGACAGCTGATTTCTATTTGACACAGCTGATCAAGAAATTAAAGATGGTTCCTTCATAGGGTATGCCTTTAGGGAAGATTCAGTCAAAATCAACTAGTGAAAACTGCTGGAGTTTCATCTTTAGTCTGTTAGAAGTAGATATCAGATTTATTAGACACCTACCAGCAGGACATCAGACAGTCCTTCTGCCAGCATTTCTAGATGTCATGTTTGCAGTAGAAAAATCAGCTGTAATCTGGCTTTATTCTTTGTGAAGCCAAAATAAAACTAAACTTGAGGGGAATAAGACATGAATAACCCTCACCTGGAGGTCTGTGATTACAGGGGAATGATTAAGTCTCCAGTAATTTAATCAGTTTAAAGGAAACCGTGTAATGTTAGACTTGCATAGGGGAAAAAAAAATCGTGAATATATAGGAGTCTTATCAAAGTGAAGTTTTGGAAGCTAAGGGCTGTAAGCACAAGTTCATCAGGTGACTTCATTTAATGTTCTTGTTCTGTCAATGACTAGGTCTTTCTCTCTTTTCATTCCTTTTCAAAACCTTGAGACTATGAATTTCCAAATCCCAGAGCCTGGAAATATGTTATATTGGAGCGCTGAGTACATTGAAATGCTGCATGTCTCTCTTTTCAAAGTAATTTTTATTTCTACAGAGAAAACCTGAATTTTTTTCCTCAGCTGTATCCTCTGAGGAATCCAAAATGAAACACAGAGTATGCCTTTTTGGTATGGCAGACCTCTGAATTTGAAAAAGGGGTATTAGCATGTATTTTGTATATGCGTCTATTATGTATATTTTGTATACTGCTGTGCAAGGTAGCTTTGCTTTTGTTTTGACATTTTATATCCATTCTAAAGCTTTAAAATTCTCATAAAACTACTTCACTTTCACTCACAGTCTCACAGGGACAGACAGTGGATGTGTTCTCAGCAAAATAAACCTGTTCCCCATAAATGCAGAGATTAATGCCCTAATAATTCCAGTGGACTGGTTAAATCACCCTTTGAGCACTTCAGGGCTGCCACTGAACCTGATGGCCACTGAGCTTTAGTGGTGCCCAGTGGAACTGCTCCACTTTGGGAAATACAGTCACAGTACTTATATTTCATTTCAGGTAGTAGATCAGACATGTTAAACAGCACTGAAAGGCTCAGAGCTCCTTAATGGGCGGTAACTTTTTGCTACAGTGTCAGCATAAATGTAAATGTCTTGTGAAGCATGGAGGAACTGATTTATGAGCAGGTAATAAGTCACTAAAAAAATGTTCACAACAGCAATGCTTTCAACCCTTACCTGCAGCAGTTCTAATAAAAACTGTGACTTTTATAGATCTGTGCCCCTTTCGCTTTAAGTCTCAATCTCCAGTACTTTAAAGGCCTTCAGAGCCCCAGACAAACGCCTGTAAATATTTGAAATACCCTCTGGGTCTACTACAGGCATTCTTTTTCTGTTCTTACATTAACTGAATGAGGTTGGGATGTCATCTTTCATTCACAAGAAGCACGAAGGAATTAACACTCCAGTTGTTTTTGTTCTTTTGGGTAAGCTACTCAGCCTTGATGATGCAGTCAGTGGTATTTCTGCTAATGACAGCAGGAGTGGAGCAGAGCACTGGGACTCTTTACTGGAACAGGGTTTGGGAAAACCTTGTCCACTGAAGCAGGTGAGAGCTGTAACTCAGCAGAGGAGAAAAATCTCTAGGTAAGGGTCATAAATAGGGACTTGTCCTGGAAGAGCAAGCAGTGACAGAGAAAAGGGGGCTGAAGGTTTGCTTGGGAAATGGATATTGTAGGAACTTTATCCACAGAATGGGGATGCCTTCAGAACAGCTGGAATATTTACTTGCTTCTATTTATTGCCTTGTTTCTGGTAGTTTATTGTCTGCCTTTTTCCGTTTTTCCTTGTGCAAACAAAGGCCGTTCAGGACACTGTAAACAAAAGATTTAATGTCCCTTTACTGTCACATTTGGGAAGACGGAAAAATGAAAACTAGCCTATATTAAGCATATCTGGTTTTGTGTCAGATTTGCTGTAGGTTTGGCATCTGACTGGCAGAGAGGCTCCAGGTGACAGTCCTGCGTGGCTGCTGGGAGAATGCTGGTAAAGGTTATTACAGTGAAGCACTTTGGAAGGGCCCATCCTTCCCCTTCCTGAAGGTTTGGCTGCTGGGGTTTGCAGTAGTGCAGATGAGAGCTGCAAGGTGATCAGAGGGAGGGAGCATCTCACCTACAAGGATAGGCTGAAAGAATTGGCATTATTCAGTCTGGAAAAGAGAAGGCTCCAGACTGACCTAATTGCAGCCTTCCAATACCTGAACAGAGCCCACAAAAAAGATAGAGAGGGATGATTTACAAGAGCCTGGAGTCAGGAATGGCTTCAAACTGACAGAGAGTAGGTTTAGATGATACTAGAAAAAAAATTCTTGACTGTGAGGATGGTGAGGCACTGGCACAGATTGCCCAGAGAAGCTGTGGATGCCCCATCCCTGCTGTGTTCAGGGCCAGTCTGGATGGGACTCTGAACAACCTGGTCTAGTGAAAAGTGTCCTTGTCTATGAAAGGGGGGGTTGAAACAAGATGATATTTAAAGTCCCTTCCAACCCAAAATATTCTATGATTCTATTGTTGCAGCTCACTTTGATTCTGGCAGATTTATGTATCTAGCAGAGAGTGAGAATTAAGTACTTCCAGGCCTCAAGGGATTGAGATTTTTACTTTCTACTATCAATACATATGTCTTCCATTTCAGTAGTAAAAAAACAAGGAAGGAAAATTTAAAATGTTCAAATGTTTGATCAGAGAGCAGAAACACAGTTCTCAGTCTCTCCCCCTTTCTGAGAACTGTGATATTCAGCAAAGGCAACGGAACTCATCTACCTGCTTGCACATTTTGAATTGAGCCTGATGACCTTCACACAGCATATCTTTCCCCAGAGCAAAAAGGACCTACTCAGACACTGCTAACCTTCCAACAGCTGGGCCTGTCTGAATCAACCTCAGGCTGCCTAGAAAGCAGGATGATGCTAAGGCTGGATGAAGCTTTAATAGCTGGAGTGCTGTGGAAAACAGCAGGAGCACCTGCAAAACATGACCTCATGTTCTGCCAGCTTTCTGCAACATCAGAGGCAGTCCACTGTAGAAAAACTCTGAGCTCAGGTCCTCCCTGCCACTGCAGTGGAGACAGGCTGCTACCCAGCCCTGCCTGCATGTGATTCTGGGCATGACTGACATCTTCCAGGGATGCCAGCGAGAGAAGGGAGGCACAGCCCAGCCTCCACAGCAGTCCTGGCAGCTGGGAAGGAGGGTGCAGGAAATCTGAAACTGGCTACAAAGTGTTGGTCCAGTTTCATGCTGCTGAAATGGGGGGATCAGAAAGGCCCTCATTGCCACCCTGTCACTGCAGGGACGCTACTACAGCAGGCTAAGCCCACCAGCAGCTGGCCTAACAAGCATAAATTGTGTCTTTGCTTTTTGATTTTGCTCCAAGGGCAGCAGAACCAGAAGGTTTGAGTCTTGTTAGAATATATGTGCTGTCATCAGTGGAATTACATGACTACTGAGGTTCCTAAAATTGTTCCATTTGTAAATGTAACTCTAATTAGCACTCTAAATGCCAAAATAATTCTCAGTGTGGGAACTGTAGGATAGCTTGAGAGAATGGAATAAAGGTTTACCGAGCTACAGATTCTGTGAACTGATCTGTAAATATTTAAGAAATTTGGACTACCTTCTGACATTTTCCAGAAAGAAAATATCAGCTTCCAAAATTCCGTAAGACAGGTGTCAGCCTAATCAATAACCAAATGCAGTGATCAATCAAGTGACATTTTACCAACCTTGCTGTGTCTGTGAGACTCTCATTAGTGCCCAGATGTATATCTTGTGTTGTAAGGAAGGAAGGATGTCCTCCAAGGAGAGCAAATCCTACAGTGAGGAAAAATTTTTAAAAAAGATAAATTAAACACCAGCAGCTCATATTTACAGTCAAGATTCAAAAACCTTCTTGATACAAAATACATTTACAAAAATAAAAGTAGAAATCATCATGATATCAAAATGTTAAAATTATTAGCATTTGACACACAAAATTTCAAATAAATATTCTTTGGAATAAACCCACTCAAATGTATGTGTTACTGAAATCCTTAGCCATGAGCTCCTATCTGTGATCACAGGAGCAGCAATTCAAGCTCCAGAGCTACACATTGCCACAAGCATCACTGTTGCTCCCTGTAAAGAGCCAGGTAATCCATTTATCATGCTGCATTTCTACTTCATGGAACTTTTCATCCTAGAAGGACCATCCAAGTCATGGTGCACTTCCACATTCTTGTAAGGATTAACATTGTGTTTCATATAAAGTCACTCACACAGAAAACCCTACTCACACTCTGTAACAAACTTGAATTTGGTCTCAAATGACCAATGCCTTAAAAATGATAATGTGAGAGAGAGAAGAGGAAAGGTCTCAGGCCCTGCCAGCATCCCTCTACCCTGCAATAATTAGGAATTTGCATGAAGGCCCAAAAAACTGGATGGATTAGGTATGAAGAGTAAAATCCATTCCTGAGCAGGAAACCATGGAAAGACTTGAGCATCATTTAAGAATAAAAAACACTTTGGGGGACTTCAAAGGTGTCTGAACAGACAAATTACATGTTAAAGGCAACTTTCAGGTTCTCTGCTGCTTTATTTTAATTACACCACCAGTAGAAAGTTATCACAAGTAACCATCTGACACAGAGAGGGAAGAAAACATCTTTTCACCAACATCTGAGTCTCTCTGCGTTTGCCTGGTTTAAGTCTGAGGCCTCTTTCTACTGAATCTGAGTGTAAAGTCCTTCGTGGCCACACTGGGAGGATGGGGCCTGATGGGGCTGTTTTACGAACTGTCACTCCCTTCCAGTACAGAGATTTTCTGCAGGCAGACACTGCCCTGTCTTTAGCATTTCTGATGGAGGAAATTTCCAGAGAATCTGAGTATGGACAAACCAGCTTTGTTGAGGCAACACTGTGGGGGCATGAGTCTTTTATTGTGACAAAAATCTAGAAAGAAGCCCATCTTTATATTTATATTGCCAGGAAGAAAAAGGCTGCATACAGCACAGAAGAGTAGAGAACCCCACTTTGTTTACAAAACTGTGATGTTGTGCAGATGCTGATGAGTTTCGAGCTGTTAGAAAAAAAAAATTAAAAAGAGAGAGAAAATAAGAGTGGAAAAGGAAGAAAAACCTGGAAGAAAAGGTCAAAAGCTGCTCAAGCTGGCTGTATCCATTAGATGGCACTGCTGACAGATTCAACAGTGCAGCTTCAGCACGGTGGCTGTTCAGGTCTGCCATGGATTAAAAACTTTGTCCCACAGCTACTCTTTAAAAGAGGATTAATCCAGGACTGAGCAGTGAAACCTTTCACAGATAAAACCAACAGGTACAGGGAGCAGGTCTGGGCCCCACAGCTGGGCTCCTTACACAGAGCAACCCTTATTAACTTCCATCTCCTGCCAGCAGCAGGGTTGAGGTGAGGTTTTCTGCTTTGCATCAGTTCAGTCAGCCTCTGGAGTTTAAAATACAATAGATGAAAAACCATACTGGAAAATCATTGTCTTTGGACTGTCTCAATTTCCTTAAATGTCAGATTAAAAGTAATGATGCTCCAGGTCCCACCTGAAGGACAAATTTCTGCTCCCCTAGCCAGTGTACACTCATTTTATTGAATGGGCCCTTTTAAATTGCTTGTTTTTTTCATTAAGGATTGCTCCAAATCTCAAGAGTATTACAAGTCAGACAGCGCAAACTTTTAAGGATGAAGCACCATTTATTCTACTATTACTTTTTTTCACCTCACCTCTGCAGCTCACACACAAACACAGTATTTAAAGGACAGTGTATGCAAATTACACATTACAGTCTGTTTATTCAGTGCAAATTTTTAAGTCAAGACCTCAAGGATGAACTGTCATTGTCAGTAAATTTTCCTTCCCAAATTCTTGTGGATTTTTTTGAGTCATATACAATTATGCCAGTTATTTATTTCTGCAAGTTCCACACAATACAGCAGCTCTGCTTTTAGGATTCTAAATGCATACACTTTGGTAGATGATTCACACTGTAGGCACACTCCAATGGACATGTTGTTTTCTAGAAATGATGCCCAGGTGAAAAAATGGGAATCTGAACATTTATTCCAAACTGCCAGACGTCAGGCAGCCCAGTCAGACCTGCCACCTGGAGTCTGTGTACATAGCAGAGCCCTGATGTGTTGGGCTTTCTGCTCATGAACTGGCCATCTGTGCAGGGCCTGGGCACATATTTCTATACAAAACTTTCCATCTGGAAATCCAGGAGCTTTGTGCTCTAACTTTGTATATAGTTGCAGAGACAGAATCTTTTTCAGATTCTTTCATCCAGACTACCAGTAGAAAGTGAAAAAAAGAGATGACTTTTGAAGGTATGCAGGCGCTAATTCAGCAAATAAACATTGGAGTGCTGTGTTAAACTGGGAGATCTAATCCTTTGTTGTCACAACCTGGTCATATCCAAGGCCACATGCTAAATATTTATATGAATTGTGATATCTTCGATAAACTAATAAATGCTCATACTGCAAATCCAGAATGGATTATTACCTCATGTCCACAATTCTCACTACTGTTAGTTTTCAAAATACAGTTTCATGCCTCATGCTGTGGCACATTATTGACCCCATTTATGCAGACTTTTCAGATGGGACATGAGTGAAATCTTCATCCCAGGCTGTCCCTGCTTCATGGAGCAAGGGGGCCAAAATGAATCTTGTAGTTCACAGGTTGGCTACACAGTTCTGGGGCTGTCACCAGGAGACACACATAGTCATCTTCTCAGACTCAAAGGAAGGATCTTTTTCAGAATTTCAAGACATATGGATTTGCATTTATTAATTTCCTTATTGCCTGCCCAGACTTAAAAAATAGGAGGTATTTTTCCATTTAGACTGATAACAAAGAACTCTCCTAGGCAGCAATTAGAGAACATTTTTAAAGCAGAAGCTAAAAAGTGATAAGCTGTTTTTAAAAGTTATTTTTAAGCTACCCTTTTAAGTGAAGAGTAAACTAAGAATTCATTTGGGCCCTCTGTAATGACGCCAGGCTAAATAACACGTAGCCACTCCAAGAGAAAACAGACCCTGTAACATATAATACCACCCCCACTATAGTTCATATGCTATGATGCAGTTATTTGTGTGACTCTGTAGCAGTCTTCAGGCATGGTCATCATGTTCCTCTCACCCCACTGTGTAGGAGGAGTCATTGGGAGTAATTCCACTAAAGCAAATGGCACTGAACCCCTTTAAGGCTGTTAAGATCTTGTGTATTCCAGTGCACAACAAGACAAGGTAGGCTGAGCTTTCCTACCTGCACTGCTTCCTCTCTATTGCTACCCTATGAAATATTGTCTGCATTCAGTGTGAGATGGTTGGATTTATTTATGACTTATTCACTAAAACATAACTGCAGCTGTATATTTTAAGAGCAACAGTAGCAATCAGATTATTTTACACCAAAGCTATAACAAAACCAGGTCATTCACCTTTGTGCCATGCCTGAGCATGTTTATTTTACAAGTAATATATGACCATGTGAATAGCTCTGTTTTCAAAAAGTACACAAAATTTTATGCAGAATGGGTATGGGATTCTGACTGTGAAGAGGTGACATTTTCCAGTGTAATAGCAGATATGTCACATTTTCCAATAAAATAGCCAGAGATAGAAGTAAATCTCCTAGGCTTATAGAATAGGATTTACTCTGCCACTACTCTATGGAAGTTACTTCTAGTTCTGCATTAAACTTACAACATCAGTGCTTATCTTAAAAATGGTAAAATTATATGGGTTTCAGAAATACACATTAGGACAAGATTAAAGAGGCAAGGAATTGTACCCCAAGAAGAGATGTGTTAGTCAGTACAGTTGCAATGTCATTAGAATAAAACAGTCCAGAGAAACAGGATGTTGAAAAAATCTTAAATATCAACTGATCTATTACAATGCATCATAAATTAATGCTTTGATAATCTTCAATTGATATGGACAACTGGGAGAAATGCAAAAAATATCACCCCCAAGTTAAAGACGGGCTAGAGGGAGGATCCAGAGAATACAGTTTAAGATGCCTCACCTCAATCCATGGGAAAGTGATGAAGCAGCTAATCCTGGAAACCATTTCTAGGCAGATTAAGCACATGAAAATTGTCAGGAGCAGTCTGCATGACTTCACCAAGAGGAAGTAATGCTTGAGAAGCTTAATCAATCTCTATGATTCTATGACTGGCCTGGTAGATGAGGGAAGGGCAGTGTTTTTTTTCTGCCTGGACTTCATTATGTCCATTTTCTCCCATGAGATCCTCCTGGCCAAGCTGAGGATGTCTGGCTGGATGAGCAGAGCATGGGATGGGCTCAGAACTCTCCAGTTGGCCAGGCCTGAGAGTGGTGACCACCAGCACAAAGTCCAGCTGGAGGCCAGCGACCAGCAGTACCCTCAGGGTCCATTTGTGTCCAGCCTTGTTTAACACCTGTGTTAAGGGTCTCGATGACCAAGTGTGGTTTCAGCAATTCTGCTGTTGGCACAAAACTGAGAGGAGTGGCTGGTACATCATAGGGTCATGCTGCTGTCCAGAGAGATCTTGACAGGCTGGAAAAAATGGTCTGACAGGAGCCCCATGAAGTTCAGCAAGGAGAGATGCGAAGTCCTGCACCTGAGGAAGAACAGCTCCTGAACCAGGACGTGGTGGGGTCCTCCCAGCTTGGGAGCAGCTTGGCAGAAAAGGACTTGGGGGTCCTGGTGGACAGCAAATTGAACACACCAGAAGTGTGTGTACCTTTCCAGCAAGGGTGGTGAATGGTGTCCTGGACTGCACCAGACAAATACTGCAAGGAGGTGGAGGGAGGTGAACTTTCCTCTTTATACCACACTGGTGACCCCGAGAGTCTGAATTTGGGGTCCTCAGTATGAGAAACTTGGACATATGAGATACAGTTGGTTTGGCCATGCTAACAAAGAGTCACAAAGATGGCTGAGGGACTGAAGCATATTTCACATGAGAAGAAAAGCTGAGAGAGCTGTGACAGCACAGCCTAAAGAACAGAAGACTCAGAGAGAATATTGCTAATGCATATAAACACCTAAAGGGAGGAGGCAAAGAAGACAGAGCCAGGTGTTTTTCACTAGTACAATGGGCACAAACTGGGAAGATCCCTCTGAATAGCAAATTCTATTTACTGAAAAGCTGATTGAGCAATGGCATAGGTTTCCACAGAAGATTGTGGAATCTTCATCCTTGGAGATATTCAAAAGGCTTCTGGACATGGTCCTGGACAACTGGCTCTAGAAGACCCTGCTTGAGCAGGGGATAACCTTCAGAGATTACTTCCAACTTCAACCATTCTGTTTATTTCTCTTTCAATAATGTTGTTCTTTACAGCCACAGGGACAGTAGGAGTTCTGAAAACACTTCCATGGTGTTGGTATGTCCCAACAAACTCATAGAGAGGGCACAGAGAAGGCTTTGTAATCAGTGCTTTCGAAGTCTCTGTTCTGCAATGAAATGCACTGATTTAGCTTTTCTGAGAGTTGCAAGGTTTGTTTAGATTAATCTCATCCCCCTTGCCCTACAAGTGACCTCTCTCAAGTTATTGAAGGGGCAACTCTTGGGAAGTGCTATTTGAGATGACTCAGGAACTTTATAAACACTTAAATCCACTGCAATTGTCCACTTTCACTAGACATTAGAAAATTGGTATTAAATTATCTTGTTTAGCTAAAAGAAACACATGTGGCTCCACATTTGTTTCGAGTTAGAAATTCCAAGGAGGGAATAATTTATGTTTAAAAAGCAGCTGAAATGTATAGAGTTTTTGTGGACAGAAAAAACTTGAGTCTGCCTTTGAAGCCAAGTCTTAGGCTTAACAGACTTAAGACCAATTAACTGAAGGTGTGAAGTTAATGCACAGAAGCTGAACTGCATTAAACTCTCTTGTGGAGGCTCTCACTCAGAAATACATTTGTTTTATTTCACTGGAGCTTAATTCTCCCTTGGATGAATTTATGTGCATTAACTCCCATCCTTAAGTTAATCCATTTGAACTTTCCTGAGCTTCCCCCTTCCATAAGCCTTCAAAAGCTGAGGACTAAGCAGTGTTTCCCTCAGAATACAGAAGAATGAAGGATAAACAGATCCAGAGAATACATTATCTGGCCACATACCAGGATGGCAGGAAACAAGAAACTGGACTAAAAACTCAGGCATTAAAAGGTGGGTGGTCTTCACAGAGAGGGAATGCACGTTAGTAAGTCATTATTATCAGGAGAAAACAGAAAGCAACAACCAGTCTGCCTATAGAGAAGGATCAGCAGGCAAATGGCTGTGCCAGAAAATACAAAGGCAAACTCAAAAATGCTTGGAGTTAATGTATCTGCTTCTTCCTTTCACTGTTTTTACCTTCTCTCTTACATTTCTTGTAAAGAAATGTGAATACTCAACATGTTTGCAGTTCCTTTACTAGGGAGAAGTGAGGGATGCTGGTCAACTTAAATAAGAGAAGAGCAAGTTCTTCCTTGATGCATCACCAGATCAGAGTTATTTTTGCTAGGATTGACTGATGAGTGATTTATTTCAGCAGTGCCATTGAATTCAGAACAACTACCATATAAATAAAGATACCATAGATACATGTTTCAGTATAACCTGTAAGAAAAATGTTCCAGTGCCTGATATTATTAGGCTAATATCCTTGAGTCTCCATAAAGTTATCTTCCCCTGTAGATAATCATGTTAATTTTTCTCCTGAATTTATATCAAGGCATTACTGTTATTCCCAGCCTAAGCACATTGAAACGTAACAATGGTAATTCATATTACCTTAGAAAAATATTTATTAGATCTTGCACAAAATTAAATTTGTGATGCTTACTGAAGTAGATGTTAGGAAATTTACATCTTGCCAGTACAGCTGGGAGCTTACACCAGAAATGCTTACTTCTGTTAATTTATTTCTGATCTATTGTGTTTTGGAAGATTTTGGCAAAATTTCAGTGACCAAAGCCATGTGCTTGAAATTAATATGCAAGGTGAAAACACAAGCAGACAATATTCTTTTCTTATTTTTGCTTTCAAAGTTTAGGTTTCTCCTGAGTACAAATGCTAAATGCAAAATTGTGCAGTGCTTTTCAGTACATACTTAATGTATACAGTTCCATATAAAGTCTTACTGTGCCATTGCTCAGATCTACCTGTTTCTGCAGATAATCTTGTCCTTGTGCTTCTCTTCTCAAAAATCATGGCCAAAGATTTGCCTTGCATCAAAGGCAAATTCTGAAACATGAAAAATGAAGTTATTTTCCATTTTATAATAATTATACTCTTTAAAGTATGAAATACTTCTTGCACATTTTAGTTCACAATTAGAAAATTTGCAAAAGTGGGGTTTTTTTACCTCTGGTTTTGTTCTCCTGCCCTTCAATGAATTTATTAGCAGTAGAAATGTTAAAGGCAAAGAAGTAATTCTAGGCCCAAAAGCAACTGCATTTTGGCACTCAATTTGAGCCAGCATTAAGGAGAACTCAGATATTAATTTAATCCCATGCAGGGAAGTGTCTTCCATTTCCTACATTTAGTGCTGCATGTACACTGTGTGGATGGATGGGGTTAGCTGACAAGAGGGAGCTAGCTGCACTTTAACCTTTCCACTCACAAAGTCCTCTGAAGTGTTTAAAGAATATTAAAGATTATTTCTGGACACTTTACAGGAAGGTTCTTTGACTTGCAGCACATGATTTACAGTATTTAAGAGCTTCGGAGATTTTGTTTAGGACAAGACAGCTGAAAGGCTTTTTCATAATACTCTTCAGAACAGTATTTATTTCAACACCTGAGGGACTTAAATGACAGTTAAATCATTTTACCTCTCCTTTATGCTTTATCCTTTGTTTCAAATCTGATGCCATCCACAGCAAATACTTTAGTTCATCAGCTGTGTAGTTCTGTAGAGTAAGGAGGTCCCGACCTTTCAGATCAACATTCATTTGAGCTGGTGTCCCATACCTGTGTCAAAAGAGCAAAAAATGTGTATTTCTTGCCATTCAATACTAAATTATATATGTGCTAAAGCCAGTGAGCAAGCACCTGAAATCTCTCCCACTCCCCTCACATGACCCAGCTGGATCATCCTGATATACTGTGTTAATTAGTTTAAATTACTCCTTCTGTCAGACAGCCCCATGTCACTAGACACTATATCAATGGCCACTGTAACAATGTTTTAAATAGTGTTATAAAATGTACATTAGATGTAATTTCTTCTGTCTTCTGATATGCATATGGCAACTGCATGCTGCCTGTCAAATAAAGCCATTCAGAGCCTGGAAAAATTACTTATGTGTAGACCCCAAAGCTGCCCTTTCAGGGGTCAGAATAACAGAAATGGATCTCAGTGCTGTTTCTCCCTCCTTTTTGCTTTGTGCATGAGTAGACACTTGCCATATCCCAACCCCACTCTCACAAAAGGTGGCATTTCTATAAATGTGTATGAAATCTCTTCATCACACTGGGGGAAAAGGGTAAAAAAAGCCCAACAAAACAGCATTACTGTACCACACAAGACATTCTGGACATGTGGTGTTTATTCAGTGTATTCTGGCCTCCACCCAGATTTAGGACTTCAAAATGAAATTGGATGTTGATAATCACCCACAGAAGTTACACGATCAAATTTCCTCTAGATTAGATGAGGCATCTTATTGAAAGTCTTGGCCAAGCCCATGTTTTACAGGCTGAAGGTTAACAGGGAAGTGTGGCAGCTCAGCCCTTTCTCTGGCTTTGTACTTGCAGCCCTCCTTAGCTCTACACAGCCCACACTGTGCTCTTGCTAAGGTTTTGATGGGTATGAACTAAACATGTATTTTATTTAAAGTCAACATTTTTAGGCTGATCTAATAAAATGAAGACCAAAACATTGCAAAGAAGTGGACTGAGTCTGGCTAATATTTTTCTATTTCCAATTGTATTTCTATTTTATATTCCCCTTTAGCTCACCATTGAGACTAGGCTCAGATGCAGTGCCTGCTTATTGCCAAGCCCTGAAGTCCACAGCTAGGAAAATATGCCCAGATACACCCCTGTGAGGCTTTGGACACAATCCCACATATCAGCCTGAGCCCCACAGTGCAGAGCCCTGGCTTTGGAGGGTGGGCTACACAGGGCACAAAGCATTGGCCAGATGGACATAGCCAGGGACTTGTGGGCAGAGGCTCCATGTGCAGCTGCAGGCCATGGATGAGGGCTGGCCCTCAGGGCTCTTGTTCCACTTGGGTTTAAGCCATTTCAGGGCTTTCAAAATTCTTTATTTCTGTCCCATTCCTTTTCAGTAAATTCCACTTTGGTTTTCAGAGTGACACCTTCTCAGCTTAGTTCTCTTTGTGCCCTCCTTTCTCTTCTGCCTTTCTTTGCCTGCTCTGTTTCTTTCCTGGTGTCCATCTGTACCTGTGGCAGCTCAGTCAGAGTCTCACCACATCATTTTTCCCAGTCCATGTGCTAAAACAGCCCTGGATTAAGTTATCAAGGCTGGCAGTGAGATGTCATTGTAAGACCTTGCTCCACTTGGGTTTCAGCCCTTTCAGAGCTTTGCCTCAGAGAGCAGGAACATCTTTTCCTTGCTGGAAACTGGAATTCCAGACCATTGCAGTGTGTGCCATGGATCACAGAGGGGAATTACTGAGGCTCCTGGGGTGCTGTTTCTGCTGTGCCTCCCAAGGGAGCTGTGCAGGTGCAGGTGACAAGGTCCCAAAGCCATTTGGGCTCCTAGAGCAGATAGCAAATGTTTTGTCTGCTGGACATTTTCAATCACACTGGCAGCTCAAACCAGAGAGGAAGAAAATGGAAGCAAGTGTAGGGGCATTCATGGGTCTGGTAGTTTCTACCATACCATGAAAAACAGCCCACCAAGAAAAGCTACTGAAATCCAGTCTTGAATACCAAGACAATTCGTTTATACTTCACAGGACTGGCTTTAATTTTTATTGTGTATATTCTGAAGGAAAATAATTTTATAAGCAGAACTTCTTTAATTATTTTAAGTGTTCATAACAGGGATTTGCTTTTTTAACTTGTTTGTGGGGGAAAAAACCAAACCAGTCCCACTTTAAAATCTATGCAATTGTCTGCTGGTCCCTACTCTCCTTTGCCTCCTTGTTTCCAGAACAGCTTTAGGGCTGCTCCTTGTTTTTCTCATTTCAGCCTGCAATTCCTTCCAGGGACTTAGAGATTATCTCAATTTGTCAAACAACTTCTGTTCATTGGTCTTGTTTCACCATCTGGCATGATTGAGAAGTGGACTGAGAAATATTCACCACTAATTTCTCCACTGGCAGATAGTGAAGCACTTTAATTGGTTACCCAGAATTGTCAAGAGATGTCTAAGCAAAGGCATAGCTGCTCTCATATGGTGTTTGACAGGCTACAAGCAGAAAGTTGGACTAGAGATCTGCTCCTGACCTCTTGAAGATTCTGTTTTATTGCTATGACCTCCAAGAAATTTGTTCCTTTCCCTGTTATCTATATGTGAAAGAGGGGCAGAAGTGGAAAAATTCATTCCAGAGAAGGAGCATGAGACAACATACCAAAGATAAAATGTAACAGGCAGAATTGCAAGGTCAAGCAGTTTTGGGTTCTTCCTTTCTGAGCAGGGGCAGCATAACTTTGGGCTAGTAGTGCAGACTCACAGGCATTAGGTTATCCTGCAGTATCAAACACAGTCTGCTTAGCTGGGAATACCCACAGACAGTGGTGATAGCGTATGCCAACATTATGCTATAATGTTAAAAAACCCATCAAAAATAACAATGCTATGTGTGGAACTTAACAAATTGGATTACTTCCTTGGAAAACCAGATTTACTACAGTTGTTTTCCAAACTTTCTTTTCCATCATCTCTGTTAACTGCAGAAATTTCCCAACTGGCTGCAGTATAAAAATCCAAAATTCATTAAAAAATTAACACCCAGCCTTTAGAACCACTCTAAAACTGTTGCAAATAAATCATAGAATTTGGAAAATCTTTGGTTTTCATAAAATGTAATGTAGAAATTATAAACAAAAATTACTTATTGCATATTAGTATTTGCATAGTATGCAAAATACTTATTGCATATTCACATTATGTGAATGTGAAATTTCTGCATATTGTTCTCTAGAACTAATCACTTGTTACATAACAAGTGTTAACTCTATTCTTATTGAAGCTGACCTAAAACCACGGGAAAACATGGCTTTCTAAAATTTTAACCTGATTTTGGAGATGTGACAAACCTGAGAAGCAGCTTAGTGAAACGCTGCCATACAGGTTCTTTCCTGCAATCAGGGGGAACAGTCACAGTTATGTGGGTGCAGAAAGAACCCAAAGCCAGGTCACAGAGGCAGGTCTGCCTGCTTGACTTTGAATCTCCCAACATCATGCTTTTCCTGCATGCCTCCAGGGTATAGAGAGACACAAAATAATAAGGCAGAGATTCACCATGCAGCTTCAAGGAGAGAATTCCCCACCTAAACTGTCCACGATATATGTCTAAATGCAGATAGAGTACCTTTATTCAGATAGTTACTTACTGGTTACAGTACCTGCAGCACACACTGACCTCAAGAATAAACATTCCTTCCTGACTTTGCAGCTAAATCCCACACAACAAATTAATGGTATTCCACAAACACTATAAACAGATATCCTGAAATCACAGAGCTTGCTGCCTGGTGAGGTAAAAGGATACTAAAATTGCAGGGAAAACCCCCACAGAGCCTTTCTCTAAAACACTCACTCCTTCACAGGATTCTGCTGCTTTTGACTCCAGGTTTCTGACCAAACACCACACACCAGATAAAATGAAAGGATAAGCTCACCAAAACTGTCGCAGCAGCTGCTTGCCGGTTCCTGCCAGTTTTGCAATAGTGACAAAATTCCTCCTATTAAACAGCATCTTCTGTTTGTATTAAGACTTCTCTTAACCCACAAATAAAGTGATGAGGAAGGAGGGTGTAGGAAGCAGAGAGTGAGCTGTGCTGCTGTGCAAATGAGAGAAAACCAAGAACCAAGGTCCTTGTTTCGGCTGTCCCAGCCAGGGCTGGGCAAGGCTGGGGCTGACCCTGAACCTTTTTTTCGGTCAAACCCTTCAGATACAGAGATTTCTCCCAGGGCCCATTGCACCACTTGCAGTTTGTGTTCTTCTCTGTGGGCTCATCATGTCATATAATACCTGTGTCAATACTATTTCATAGCTATGTTATGTTAAATATTTGTACAGGAGCATGTGCTGATAGAAAAAGGCAAAAGAAGACTTGCAGGATCAGCATGAGCAGGATGCCCCCCTAGGGATGGGACAGGGGGCTCTAGCATAGCCCAGGCAGGGACTGTTGGCCCTGAACTGAACCAAAATGAGGGTTTTGGGTCCATGGCTATGGAACTGGGCAGGGCATAAAGACTTATTCATGCTTTATTTTCCTATGGTTTTTTGGTGGTTTCTTTTTCTGTTTTTTTTTTTTTTTTTGTTTTTGATTTTCTGTTTTTTTGTTTGGTTAGTTGGTTGGTTTTTGTTGTTGGTGGTGTTTTTTTTTTTTTTGTTTGTTTTGTACCAAGTTTTCAATTATGTTGCAGTAGTGTTAAACAGTGTGGGGCCCAAAAAGTGAAATATTGCAGCCTGCCTACCTCCTTAGGCTAAACTACTTGCTGTATAATCTGAAGTAGGTCAATTGCTAAGTACTAAAGTGATTTAATTTAAGTTTCTACCTTCAAACATAATTATCAGATAAGATTTTATGCCACTTGCACTGTAGGTGGGTTTGAAATATGACCATTACTTTCTCATTTTCTCCTTCCTGTAAGGAGAGACGCACTAGTGTAAATCAAAGTGATGCCATATCTGACAGAGAGGGTGATACCTTGAAATTACAATGCAAGGAACTTATAATTAAAACACACAAAAGAAAAGTTGGGCTCCTGGGAAAGACAGACAGCTGTGAAAACATCACGCAGGGTGATAGCTCCTGGTGGGATTTGCTCAAGACCCCTCATGCTGAACCAGCCCTGAGATGCTTGGGAAATGCAGCAGTTGCCAGGGCAAATGTGAAACAGCAGTAAAATCCTAGAGAAAGGAGTAGTGAGGGAATGGAAGAGAAGAAAGAGAAGAAAGGGAAAAAAGAGAAGAGAAGAAAGGGAAGAGAAGAAAGAGAAGAAAGAGAAGAAAGAGAAGAAAGAGAAGAAAGAGAAGAAAGAGAAGAAAGAGAAGAAAGAGAAGAAAAAGAAGTGTTCTGGTTTGAAAAAAAAAACGGGGAGAGACTCTAAGTCAGAAATACAATTTATTAGAAAAAGTGAAAAAGAAAACAAAATACATGTAATAATACAAAAGAAAAACCACGGACAGAGTCAGAATACAACCTTTTTGGTCCGGGTGTTGCTTGCCATCCAGATTGGAATGGCTGCAGTCCTCCCGGAAATACAGCAGAAAAGCCTGAGTCTGGTGTCCCAAAAACCCAGATAATATCCAGTAAGGAATGCTTGGCTCCTCCCTTTGGGTGGAGCATCTCACAATGGGACATTATAGTTCTTATCAGTCATGCAGTGACATTCAATAGCCCATGATCAGCAGATGTCTTCCTGGAGGGAGAACTGGTTGTGAAAAAATAAGGAAAACTGCCACTTAACAGAAGACAACTGCCATACAGATGGCAAATGGAATACATCTTGCCTTGCAATCTGGGACAGGAAGAAAGAGAAGAAGGAGAATGCCAGGCCATGGTTTCCCTCTTTGTTGTCCTCTGGCAAATGACTCCCATGACTTTCAAGCCTGACTCCTGGACTGAGCTTGTGTCATTAGTGATGCCCAGGAGAAAAGACAGCAGACAGAGCCAATGTGGTTGAGGTGCCAAGGGCTGCAGTCCCATCCTGCAGCCTCACAGGGAGGGGACAGTGCCAATGCCTCTTTGTCAGGCCACAGCTCGTACTGGGTCTGGCTGAGCTGGACTCATTTTCCCACAGCACCCTCACTGGGCTGGGCTCTGCACAGGTAGCTGGAAAGGTGCTGATAAGTTAGCTCCTTATCTTCTCCTAGCAAGAGAAATAAAAGAATAATTTTAGAAAAGGTGGGAAGAGAGAGAAAAGGAGTTCATCGGTCCTGGGTCTATTATTGATCTGGCCAACAAGAGGTCTGGGGTCCTCAGGGGCACTGCCTGGCACTGTGGGGGTGGGTTTCATTGAGAAGCTTTCCATGGGAGGTCAGGACACTGTGCCGGGCCTGGTGCTGTCCCACCGCTGGCTGCCTAGGGAGATGCTGGAGCCACCGTCCCTGGAGGTGTTTAAGGAAAAACTGTATGTGGCACTGAGTGCCATGGTGGCACTGGGTGTAGGTTGTACCCAGTGATCCCAGAGGTTGTTCCAGTGCAGCCCATCCTGTGGCAATGCCGTGCCCACAGCCCTGTGCCCGGCCTTTCCCTCTGCCCAATACAGCCCATCCCGTGCTGATGCCGTGCCCAAGCCCTGTGCCAGGCGTTATTCCATGCTCAGCACAGCCCATCCCGTGCTGACGCCGTGCCCATAGCCCTGTGCCAGGCATTATTCCGTGCCCATCCCGTGCTGACGCCGTGCCCACAGCCCTGTGCCAGGCGTTATTCCGTGCCCAGCACGGTCCATCCCGTGCTGACGCCGTGCCCACAGCTCCCGCCAGGCCTTTCCCCCCGCCCGCCCTCAGGTGGCGGCCGGGCGCTGCCGCCCCCGCCGGCCGCCAGGCGGCGCTGCCGCCGCCCGGCCCGGCCCGGCGGGGCTTCCTGCCGGCCGCCATGGCCGCGCCCGCCGCGGGGACCGAGCTGCCCGTGCCCGGTGAGTGCGGCCGCTCCTCGGGGCACCCGGGGAAAGCGCGTCTGCCTGTGCCGGCCCTGCCCGCCTCATCCCCGCGGGGCTGCGGGCCCCGCCCGGGCCGGTGCCTCGGGGCGCTGGGGAGAAACGCGTCCCCGCAGAGCTCGGACGGGGCAGCCCCGGCAGCGGCGGGGCGGGGGCAGCGCCGGGCGCTCGGGGGACGCGGTTAATGCGGAGCATTGATGGTTGGTTTGTGTCGCGGTTTAGCACAGGGTAATGTTCAAGCGTTGGCTCGTTGCTCGGATAACAAACGCCTTGTGTACGTCCTGTGGGATTTAATTTACTGAGCTGGTGGGATTCAGTTTCCAAACTGATGGCAGCGCTGAAGCGCTGCGTGGGTCAGGCTGAAGGGACCGCCGCGGGTTGTCTGGTCCCACCGCCCTGCTCAAGCAGCGTCATCCCACTGCACATGGCCCAGGATTGTGTCCAGACACCTCTGGGATATATCCAGTGAGGGAGACTCCACAACACACAGAAAATAATTTCTTCCTCTTGTTCAGGTGGAACTTCCGAGCATCAGTTTCTGCCCATTGCCTATTGCTCAGCACCGCCGAGCAGAGCCTGGCTGCATCTTCTTGGCACCCCCTGGGTTTAGATATTTACACACATTAATAAGGTTCCCTGTAAGCTGTCTCTTCTCAAGGCTGAACAGGCCCAAATCCCTCAGCTTCTCCTCATAAGAGAGATGCTTCAGTCCTCCAAACATGCTTGTTGACCCCCACCAGACCCACTTGGTGAGCTCCATGTCTCACTTGTACTGAGGAGCCCAGAACCGGGCACGGTAGTTGTGTCCAGTTATAAAAAGTTGTGTCTTAGTCAGATGAATGAGATACAAAAGGCATTGGAAAATGTATCAGCTTTTGGTATACATTGAATAAAGAACATAAAATGTTTTCATGTTAACCCTTCTGAAGGGAAAATAAATGAACCAGAGAGGTTTACCTGCCGAAGAGATTGCTAAGAAAGTTCAGAAGTGCACAGCTGTCTGTTTGGAGATGAAAACTTCAAACAGTTTTCAGATCTTGTTTGCTTGTCTGTAGTTGTAGGCATGTCTGGGTAAAATAAGGAAAAAACTCAACTCTTTCTTTAAAAAGGCTTGATTTTGTCTGCACAAAGCTTGTTGACAAGTGAAAGTGAAAAACACATCTAATGAGGTAATAAGTACAATTTATATATGTCTGCTTCATCTGATACATAAAACAACATCTTTGAAAATAGGGGAAGCTTTTGCATTAAATAATTATTTTAAATGCAAATCAAATATACACTTCAAGGAAGAACTTCTAGAGCTGGGATGCATATTGTTGATGGGATTGTTTTCATTGAATGTAAATGCATACCTCAATTTAATTTTCAGAAACAGTCTACTGTTATTGTGTGTATTTCCTAGCATTATTACAAGCTTACAAATTTACAAGGAAAAGATTTGGTTTATTCTTGGGTTTATTTTTTTAAAAAATCTATCTTTTTTAGCACAGACTTTGACATTTTAAAATGTCAAAGGAGGTCTAATTGAGCTTTCATATCTGAGCTGACATTGTTTGCAAGGATTTTGACAAATTATTTGACTTGTAAGTTCATTAATTTTTCTGTAGAATTAGTATTTTCTGTCAAACCACATGCCTAACCAAAAGCTGAATACATAGTTAACATTCTGTATTTTCAAATGATGTTGCTAACCCTTTTGAAAGTGTGAAGAAGTGAGAAAGCAGGCGAACTACAAAGCCTGAAGAGCTGTTTGGACTTTATTTTGGGGTGGTTTTATTTGGAGTTTTAGACCATGGTGTTATAACTGAATCACAGAATGGTTGGGCTTGGAAGAAATCTCTGGACACCATCTGGTCCAGCCCCCTTACTAAAGCAGGTTCACCCAGAGGAGATTGTACAGGATTGTGCCCAGGCAGGTTTTGAGTATCTCCAGAGATGGAGAAGCCACAGCTTCTCTGGGCAGCCTGTTCCAGTGCTCTGCCACTCACACAGGAAAGTTCTCCCTCCTGTTTGGGTGAAATGAGAGTTTTGCCAACCCATGTTTTGAAGGCTGAGAGAAGAAAGAGGAGAAAGATAAGAAAATAAAATGTGCCACAGAATTGATAGAGCATATCTACTTCAAAATCTGTGAGGCAAAATTTGCTTTCACTAAAATTGACATTTTCTGTGTTTCAGAATCAGGTGCTGTTTTCACATTCGGGAAAAGCAAATTTGCAGAAGATGTTCC